TAGCTGCAACCAGAAGGATAAATCACATCACTAGCTGAAATTCGAGCAAGCTGCTTATTCTCTGTGATTGAGCTAAGCTGCAGAAACCTAAATTGTCACAGCGATAACCAGCTCTTTCACTCCTGAAGCCAGTGAAGGGAAAAGCCAGCAATTTCTCCCATGTGATGCATGTCCACCCTCTCACCTGGTGTTTTATGAATGTATTGTCATAACTGTCTTTTAAGGATCTGTGCCTGGGAGGGAGCCTTCCTCTGTTTTGTAAAATGCCGAGAGATACTACTGTGATATATAAATAATGATAATTAGAAGACAGCCTCAAATTATTTGACATCCAGATTGAAAGGAAAAGTGGTACTTTGTTCAAAAACATATAATACCCTAGAATTTGGATCAGAAGTGGCAGTTGAGAAAAAAGCATATGTCAGACTTGGATGGTTCAAGCCTGCTTATATCTGAGGTCAGACTCCCCAAAACGGAGCCGTGGGCTGAACTACTTAGGGCGTCAGCTCTGGGCCCAGGAAATAAGGAATCTTAACCCTTTGCCATGATCATTTGAAAATAACAGAGTTAAGCTAGGAGTTAAGGAAGAGGGAAGTTATAACACTTCTTGAAAAGTGATTAATAAATTTCACATTGTTTCCCAACCTCTAGCCTCATTTTTTAAAAATGTAAATGCCAAGGTTTTCAGAGTTTCACTCATTCTATCGTTGCCTGCCTAAATATTGACTCTTCAATTTTCAGAATTTTTCCTCATGGTGAATGTGACACCATTTGTCTGTTGAGTGGAAAGAAGTAGACCCGAGAATCAGAAAGGCAGGGTTCGATGTCCTTGCCACTTGGAGCTCTGTAGCTTTGGGCAGCTATTTAACCTCCAGATGTGTTTCCTGCTCTGTAAAATCGGAATAAAGTTACATCAGAGAACACCCTGAATATGCTATACCAATTTCATTCCTGGAATTCTTACCATGCCCCAGTCATTGTTGTAAATAACTAGCGTATCCTCACAGTAGCCCCATGAGTTAGGTGCTGTTTTTACTTTCATTTAATGGAAGAGGAAACCAAAGCCCAGAAAGGTGAAGTAACTTACCTATGGGGCCAGCCCGTGGCCCGGTGGTTAAGGGAGCCAGATCCCGCAAGGTCAACTACACAGTTTGAATCCTAACCCTGGCAGCTTGAAGACATACAGGCATGTGTGCATGAATGAATGGAGAAGGGATTAGAGACTGCAGCGTGACC